GATGGCAGCAGAGCATCCAAACGGCGACTCTAACTTTGAGTCTAGAGCTGAGGAGAAGTCAAGCTGCTATCTGTTGATGCCAGATGCCCACAAAGGATCCCCTTGCCAGTGGAGGCCACACCTCCCCATAAGACAGCAGAGGCCAGAGGTGGAGGCAGAACTGTGGTTATGTCCGCCTCAGGGATCTTAAATCTTAGCCAGCGGAACAGGAGTTGACAGACCTGAGTTCCAACCCCAGCTCTGCCTCTTACGCTTGACCCCAACTACCATCTCTGCAGGAGTGATTAGTCTTAAAATCTTTAGAACTGTCTGAACTCCCCATATCTCCCTATCAAATAGCTTCAAAGACAGTTAAGAGACTCTAACATAAAAGAAGTCACCACCAGATTAGCTCTAATGGAGCTATATAAAAGCATTTATTGATCAGCTACTGAACACAATAGTATGACTCTAAGCACTTAGCTCATTTAACTCTCACAGCGCTGTGAAACAAGTACCCTAAGTCCTAGATAAGGGGAAGAGGCAGAGAGGGGTTAAAAGGAGAAGAAGAGCTGGGATGCAAATGCCAGCGGGCATCTCACCGCCCGCTTACTTTCAAGCATTGGACCACCACTCAACAAATACTATCCCATCGCACCATTAGCACAACCCAGGGGGAGACACAGGACAGAGCATAGCAGCATTACCGACCTATGGTCCCTGGAGAGCTGTGAGGGCAGTGAGGGGTGTGCCTAAGACAAGTGGGGTAACACTATGCTGACAGATGACAGTAAGGCTGGATCTGGGACATGGCAGGGAAAACCTATAACCTGCCTTAGGTGCCATTTCCAAACGTATTTCATAGCATTCTTTGTTTGCCTGTCATCCCCTCCCCAAGTCCAATGACTAATATGCTGACAGAGGCTAGTTTACTGTCGTAATGCATCATGAAGAGCAGAGAACAGCCCAGTAAAGAAGTGAGCAATAATACAGGAAACAAGGGAAGAACTTCCTGACAAACACACATCCCATACCCTTGCGGAGGAAGTTAACACCTGGGAATAAAACTATTCCCTCCATAAGAATAGTCACAAGGAGAGCTTAGAGCCAGGTGAGTGTGCCAGTCTCCTGTGATTCCCAAACTTCTCTCAGGCCACTGCACTGTTTTCAAGCAAATTTCAACAGAGATGTACTCACTGCAGAACAGAGAGATTTTATAAAGTTGAAGAATACAGAACAATTCTGATCCTTCTTCTATTCAGCATCAAACAATTCAGAGCTGGGGACAGGGAGAAGACATGGGTGAACAAACTCAGTACTGGGGAGAAGCTTTCGGGTCCACTTGAGTCCTCATCAAGCATCACAAATGGGAGGGAAACGTTCATCTGTAGCTTAGAATGTTGCCCCTGCTCCTTTGTTTTAACAGTCCAAGGAGCTCTCCCCAGAAGATATGTACGCTTTTTGCTTTTTAAGAGGGGCCAAAAAAAAAAAAAGGCTTTGAGTAAGAAGAAGCCAGCTTCACAATCCCTTCAAGATGCACACTTTCTCACTTCCTCCAAGAAGTGTAGCACACTAAAAGAGCGGCTGGACCAGCACCCTGAGAAAGCCAGCCTCTGAAATGAATGCCTTGGGGGCTCGCTGACTCCTCACCAGGAATTTAACAAAAGCCAAGAGCTCTCTGGGCTCCTCATATGAAAGCAAAGCTGAAAAATAACTCCTTCTACACACTGAAGAAATGCACAGCTAGCACCTTTCTTCCTTTCCCCCCTCCGTTATAAAGCAAAAAACCACCTGACCCAACTCGAGGGCCATTTCATGCTGTAGGCTTCTTTGCCGGCCTAAGTATCTGGCTGAAGACAAATTGGCAATTAGAACCACGTCAGAAGTGTATAATAGGCAAACACACATAATACATTAAACTTAAATATTAACCTGCAGTCTAAGAGATTTGTTTTAAAACAAACAAAAGAAATGATAAGCAAAGTAGATACTCTTGGAGAATACATATGTAAAAATGACCTGTGCTCTGATCAACTGTAATTAATCACAGAACCCGCTTGTCTTAAATTGCTTAATTGCTCAACAAATCTGTCAGGCTCCCACAAAATCTATTTGATTTTTTTTCATCCTCTTCAGCATGAACTGAAACACACTGCAGAATGACAAATAAAAAAATATTCAGATTGTAAGCAGAGCTACATCTTGATTAAAACTACTTCAGAAAGAGTTCGGGAGAGCAAAGCTAATTGAGAAGCAGCCTACCTTACTTAGAGGCTAGTCTGTGCCTGTGTTTAAGGCCTTTGTGAGGGTTAACAATATGATGTGGGGAAGACAAGAAGTGCCTTCCTTCTTTTCAGAGGTCCCGGGGGAAACTGCAGTATCAGCGCCTTTAAGATGAAGTGACATGGAACAGAATCGCAACCACCATTCTCCATCTGAACATCACAGGCCTACCTCAGCAGCAACAATCAGAGATGAGAGTGGTATGAGGGGAGAAGGACAAAAGGACAAGCATAAGTGCAATGAAGAGAGTAACCATAAAGTTATGCAATGAAGACAGTCATCATAAAGGCAGCTAACCCTTTGGGAGCTCTCACTAGGTGCCAGACACTGTGCTAAGTGCCTGACATGTGCCAAATCATTCAATCCTCTCCATATGCCTATAAGGATAGTACTAGTATTAGTCCTACTTTAGAGATTAGTAAACTAACGCACAGAAGTAACACAGTCAACATGAGGCAAAGCCAGCAGCATATAGACCATCCAATTCCCCATACTGAACTGGAACTGGAGCCAATCTACAGTCAAAACACAGCAACTGATTGGTCTCTGGCACTCAATAAGCAAAAAAGGTTTACCCTGTGCCAAACGCTTGTAGGTCAAGGAGCATGAGGCAATGCTTATTAGAACTGCGTGCTACAGGGTGGAGAACAAAACCAGATCAGCTAAACTGCTGAAACCAACCAACCTACTGACTGAAAGAGGCACAGAAATGCTCTGCAGGAAAGCATGGTTCCCCTCCACAGATTAGAGTTGTCATCTAAAGTGGCCGGAGCTCTTGTAAACCTTATTCTGTAAGGATGGAACTGTTCCATAACTGCCCACTATTTAGTTTTCTGATCTTTATCAACTTTTGGAATGACAGTTCCATTATACTGCCAACCTGAGAGTTAAATAGCTCTCTTTTCCCCCTTGAGTTTCAAAAGCCACGCCCTGGTCCAACTACTCAAGGATTCGATCCACAAAAATGGGTTCCCATCAACGTCAATCTCCTCCCTCCTTTCTCAGATGAAAGCTCCTATACCATTCCCATAATTTTCGGTGCTACCTCTGTGCCTTTTTGAACAACACAACACCTTTTTTTTTTTTGGCCAATAATAAATACAGCATTCCAAGAACTGAGCAACCTGATTCTGCACGAATGCTAAAGTGATGCTTTTCTACTTGGTTTTCTAATCCTCTTCCACTGATGTCTTCAAGGCACCATCAACAATAGTTTCTGGACCCGTTTCCTATATTGGTATTGGAAGTTTAAGGCCCTAATATCTTGTCCTTAAGATGCTGTTTAAATGTTTTTAAGCAAATGCATTATTTTATACCTGCCCACAACAAGTCTCACCCTCACAGCTGTGGGAGATTTGGGTGGAGCCAGGAAATATAACGGCACTGAAGCTAAATTTTCTCTTGAGTATACTGTAATGTGGTATGTCTGGAACTTTTAGGTTAAAGGGACTAACTCCTTCCATCTCATGTAGAACATAGATTAGGGGGACACCATAACCCAGCAGCCAGGACATCCACACAATAAAAAGGGCAATGCATGTCTAAGAACATGATCTAGGAAGAAAGAAATGGAAGACTGTAAGAAGTTAGAAGGATATACAACTTTAATGAAATACAGATTTTAGGAGAAAATGCAATCAAATTAATACGTTGCAAAAAAATTTGCACGGAGAGGAAAATTAAGATATACAGTAAGAGTTTTTAAAAAGCAAGCATGGAAGTGTGGACGTGGTTGGACAGACACTGAAAAATATACTCTTTCATGACTGCAGCCATTGTATTTGAGTACTGCCCTAAGAAAAATTAGATAATGGTCTCCCCTCCAACAATACACGTTGCAAAGGGCTGAAATGTTAATAATATAATCAACTAGAATATGACAATCAAGGTTCTCCAATATGAACTGGAATTTGCTAAAAATAAATAAAATGCAAGTATCACAGCATCCAGGTAATCCACTGCACAAAGGACAGAGACACAGGTCCCCTGGCACAGGGCAGAGCCCAGAAGATTCACCACAAGATTGGAGACTGCTCCCCTGCCTCAGCCGCTTTTATCTTCCCCTCCCACTTTCTCCAAGCGCTTAAATCACGCAACTCTTAGCACCGAGCACACTGGGTCAAAGGTCAAAATTGCCTCGCGCGCGGTCCCTGATGGATTCTCAGGGCCTCACAAGCTCTGATTAGGTAACTTTACAAAGTGCTACAAAAGTGATGACTGCTATTATTCTTTGTAACCCCGCAAGCAAAGGAAACACACGGCGGGTTAAAAGGAGACCGTTTGGACAGCAGAAAACTGCTCTGACAAAGACGGCATAACTCTAAAAAACTGATAAAACTGATCCTAGTCCAGGTCTCGGAAGCAAATCGGGTTTAAGCCAAGCAGCAAGCAGACACTTTATGGCTCAACCTTGTGCACACACAATACTATCTTCTGTCTGCGCGGCCTGGTTCCAAAGTGCATTCACCTAGAGTCTACTCTCCGCCTCGCCCTCGCTGGGCCCTGAAGGCGGCTGGAATTTAGAGACGAGGAAACGGAGGCTCGGCCCCAGGGCACACTCACAGGCCCAGACTTGAGACCTTTCAACTACACGGGGGAGGCGCGGGGTGTAAGCGTCCCGGGTCTCCCGTGGACGCCGGCCTCTCGACAGGACATCCCGCCGGCTCTGGGCCTGGCAGCGCTCTCATCTCAGGGTGGGCAGCAAAGCGAGCGGGGTGGGCTGCCGCGGGACGGCTCACCTGGGCGATGCCGGCGCCCATCAGCCCGCCGCCGATGACCGTCACGTGCTTGACAACGATTTTCTTCGCTGAGGCCGAGGCGACAGACGAAGAGGACGCCGCACGGATGAACTGCCTGGTTACAAAAGCCATGGTGCAGAGGCGGAGGCGGCAAGGGCAACGGCAACCAGACACGCTGAAGGCACCTCAGAGCAGCACTAGTAATCAGTCGACCTTTGGGGGCGGAGACCAGGCGGCCCGCTGCCCGCGCGTCCTGGGCGTTATGTGACGTCACCGGCGGTGGGGCGGGGATCCGCGGCCGGCTCCGCCCATTGGCCGAGGCCCGGAGCGGCTTTCGAACGACGGAGCGCGGCGTCCCCGCCTACGTGGGCTGGCAAGGGCCGCCGCCTTCGGCTGCGGAGCTGATGGCTCACACGCTGTGGGGGGGGGCGTGGGACTAGATTCCCGGGCTGCAACAGGGCGGGGCGGTTCGGGCTCCAGTGTTCCGCGGGGCGCAGGCTCTTCCTTGGAAAAGCCTCCGGCCACTGTAAGAGGAACACGTGATGTTGCCTTGTTAAGTCGTGGCCTGGATGCTTGTGCATAGCTTAGCGCTGAGCAAATAAATACGTGTTCTTTGGTTGTGGTGATAAAGAGATCCAAAATGAGCAGCCTTGATTCATGTCACCAAATAACCAACTCTAGGGATTTTGTTTTACCCCTGTGGATAATGACTTTCTGCTAAAACAAAGAAACTAACTTTTCACACCCAAATCAAATGTCTAGCGACCCATGAATGCCAATGTAAAAATCAGACCCAGGGAAGGGAAAGGGAGCGTTTGTAAAGTACTGTTCGCCCTGAAGGCCAGCTTAGCCATGCAGTAAGGGGCGCACACCCCGCATCCCACTTGGTGTGAAACCCAGTGGAAAATACATCACCCATATCCTGCTTGCCAGATGCCCCCAGCCGTTGCCACCACCAGCCGTTGCCACTGGTTACGTACTCCACCCTATAAAAACTAGACCCTTCCCTTAGTCCGGGCTCACACCTCTCACGGCCTCAGCCCAGCAGGTTAATAAACTTGCTTGCTTGAGTATCTGTGTCTCTCGGACCCTCTCTCCTCCGTGAACCTTTCAGAGTTGACTTTAGTTACCCATTTCAACTTTAGACATCAGATGGTTTAAAGTAAAAAAGCAACCTTTGTGGAGTAATTGATACCAACTAGGCCAATCCTCGCCCTCGTGTGAGTAATTTCTAGTTATCGTACCTAAGTAATACAGAATTTTTATTGATTTAAATATGTAATAAGGACCACAAATTCACCATGAAAACAAAAGTTGGCCTCCTCTTATGGGAAGTACCACAACTATCATAGTGAATCCTGTGTTCACCATTCCTTTGCTTTGATCTCATTTTTATATCTAATTCTGTAAAAATAGGGGAGAAGCACAGTTGCTGAGCGCTCTGTTAGGCTTGGGACAATACTAAGGAGAGACAGGATGGCATCCATATAAAGTCCATTAAGTGCTAGAATGTAGCAAATACAAAAACTTATGGGACGAGAAATATAAAAGGAAGATTACACAGAGAAACCTAGTAATTTGAAGAATGAGTAAATGTATGGGAAAGAGGAGATTTATAGGCAGAGGAAGCAGCACATTCAAAGGTAAAAACAAAATATTGCCACAGGAAAAGGAAGGGGAATTAGGTGTGATGAGAGGTAAAGCTAGGATCTTAAATCAGGAGGATGCATGGTTGATACTTTTGGTGGATTTTAACTTTTCATTCTCAATTACAAGTTGTGCCTAATGCAAGGTCAAATATATTTTAACGACAGTGTTGTCACAGTCTATATTTTTAAAATGTGTATAATGTCAAACATAATGCCTGAGAATGGTACATTTTCAAAACTGTGATTTGTTTTCCTTAGGAAAGAAAGAATAACCAGTGCCATATTTTTTAGCAATTCTCAAATCTGAGGCCACCTGTATTATGTAAAGGTGTAATGTCAAGAAAGGAGCATTGAGTGAGAATTAGGAATCCTGACTCAATTCCTGTTGGGCTGTATGACCATCTGCAGACACCTCCGGGGCTCCAGCATCCTTGCCTATCAAAAGAAACAGTTGGATGGATAACTTTGCAACTCTTTCACACTGACAGTCTAAACCCCGTTTACAGACTTCTGAAGCAGGAGGGCCACCCTGTCCCAATTCCTGCCCAGTCCTGGTCAGGTGACAGTTACAATAGAATCATTCTTCTTTTGCCAGGACTGCAAGTCTTTTCCCAAGTGTGGCCTTGGACGCCAAGTACTGATTTTGGTGGTCCCTCCCTCGCACCTTCACCCTGTTCTTGGGGTCATGCTTCGTTTCTCTCTGCAGAAACAGTGGAATACGGGGAAGGATGACCCTGGTCACTGAACCAACTCAGAGACAGCAAAGGAAAGGGCTGGCACTGAGAATGGCGTAAATAATGACTGCTTAGTTTTGTCCCATAAATGGATACTTGCAATATTTAAAAAATAGATATCACAGAAGCATTATTTGACAATATACATGGGGGTGAACTCTGAGAGTGGTAGAAGCAGGGAGTGCAGTTTTGACTCCAACCAAGTGGCAGTAGACAAACACTATCAAAGCCTTCCAGGCATCCTTGCTTTATGAAGTAGGCAGGCAAAGAGAGAGGCACTGCCACTCAGTCTTCACACTGTCCTGTGAGAGGCACATTGAGCCAAGGTTAGGGTGTGTTGTTAACAGTCAGGAGCTTTAATGAGGGAGGATTCACTGAGTAACTTGGAATTTCCCTTCTGTTTATGGGAAGTTAGTGATTTCTGGCTTACTGGGGAGGCAGTGAAAAATTACTGCTGCCTCTCCTGTTTTGTTGAACAATTTTTAGATTTCACATGGCAGAAAACCAGAAGCTGTAACTGCTCAGGCTAGCCCAACAGCAGAGCCCAGAAAGTTCAACCAAAAGCTTACCTGCTGCTCTTCAACTATTATATCCAAAATAAACTTCTAAGAGAAAGTTTTTTAAAAACTTACCTATTGCAACATCAATGAAGGTTGACATAGCCACACTTGGCAGCAGTGTTTTCAAGGAACTAGTCAAATGTTTGCATAAACAAAATGTATAGTTAGTTTGAGAAGTACAGTCATGTGTTGATATATCCCACTGAAAGATACTTACAGAATGATTTATAAAACATACAAGGCAAAATTTTACAAATCATTTTATCCTCCTGACCTTTTAGGAAAAAATTATCATGGCAAACTTTAAATGTGTCTTAGCTTTTATCAATGTTACCAGTTGTCCCAATACCAGTTGCTCTCTACCTCCATTTTCTCCTCTACTTGGAAAATTCATTAAATCCTCACAATAACCCTATTTGGTAGCTACTAAAGGTACTAATCCTCTTTTACATGTAAGGAAACAGACCCAGAGAGGTTCAGAAACTTGGTCAACATCACACAGCTAATAAATGGCACAGGCAGAATTCAAACCCAGGGCAGTCTTTTTTTCAGGGCTCATGCTCTTGACCACTATGCTGTTTTGCCTCTTTTCATAACAACCCTAACGCGACCACTGCTATTTTCTGAAGGTGAAGAAACCGAGGTTCCAAACAATTAAATCATTTACCGTATTTCCCCATGTATAAGACGCTCCCATGTATAAGATGCACCTTAATTTTGGGGTCCAAAATTTGAAAAAAAAATGTATTACATGAAGTTATTGAACTCAAGTTTTATTCATCATAAAACTCATACAACTCCTCATCACTGTCAAAACTCCCAACCATTAGTTTGTCCTCATCTGTGTCTGATGACAAATCACTGTCTTCATATATTGCCTCTCATGGCCTTCTTCTGGCGTGGCTTTTCTTCCCGTAGCCAGTCTCCGATTGTTTTCTCAGTTGGAGGAGGACCAAATTTACATTCAGCAGCATGACTTCCATTCACTTTTGCAAACTGGATCACTTTTAACTTGAATTCAGAACTGTACAAAAATCTTTTCTGAGCCATTTCTGGGCAGAACGTGGCAAAACGTAACCTACCGTAATATACCGGTAACAAGTGCGAAACAATGAGCGCAAAGACAACAAGCATGAAAAAGCGGGAAATACAAGTAAAACAATCTACAACAATGAGCACGAAAACAAGCGCGGGAAATGCAAGTTTAAAAAAAACCTCTATAACCACTGTATAAGACGCACCCAGTTTTTAGACACCAAATTTTTTGGGAAAGGGTGCGTCTTAGACATGGGGAAATACGGTACTAAATGTAACCCACCTAATAATTGGCCAGGCTCAGATCTGAACCCACTCTAATGTCAAGGCTCCTACTCTTGTCATAATTCCATGCTCCTTAGAAAGTTCCCCTGCTGCTAGATGAAAACAAAAAAATTGGGGAGTGGTTTCCAGCACACCTTATATATGTCTAGGTTTGGAGCTTTAACTGTGATACTAATATTTTAATGGTTAAGCCGATTAATTAGACATTCTCATAAACCCCAGAACAGCAAGTTTCACACAGTGATTCCCAATGTGTACACCTGAAGACTCTGTAAGAGCCATGTGGGTTATACCATCTTGGTTTCTAGCATGTAGATTCATGTTTCTCAAACACAGACATACATTTATAATTGTCTGCTGATCACCGCTACTGGGAACCCTCAGCTGTTTCAAATGTAACTTATCAACATTTGAACCTATTATTTCCTACCTCCTAAAATACTGACACCTCTTCTTGGATTTGCTCAGTTCACGATGACCCACAACCAAGGGTATTCTCCTTGCCCCTCACCTCCACATCCCCATCCAGTGCTCAGAGGGCGTTGATTCCACCTTAGAAATGGCTTCCTCCCTCATTTCCCTACTGATCCCTAATTGTTGGCATTTTATTCAAGCCATTCTCTCCTGTACAGAGGCTGTGCCCATTCCTAATGTGCCTTGCTGTAACTAATGTCTCTTCATTCCAACTTATATTTCATATACTTTTCAGACTGATTTCTCAGATTATAAATTGGATCACTGCACTACCCTCCTTTTGAAAACTTTATTCACAGGGCAAAGAGCAAACTTCTAAATCCTGGCCCCAACATTCTAAATGCATCTGTTTCCTTCTACTCCTTCACAAGTACCTTAAATTCTAACCACAAAGAACCAAAGTTGCTTTTCTAATTTTTAAATTATCTTTCATAAAGATCCCAGTTGCCAGTTTATTTATAAATGAGTTAAAGGCTAAAATATGTTTTGATGATAATTCTCAGACATTT